AAATAGAATTGCATACAAAAACATTACACCTGCTAGTCATTTTTGTCATACAGACCGCTCATTAAAACAGATTTTCAGAGAAAACTACGAAGGACGCTCGAAAATTTATACCTTCTGTATATTTCCACAGAATCAGACACTGGGAACACAATAGCACCACTGGATAGAGCGCGTTTTCATCACAAAAAAAGAAATAATAATAATATTTTCCACACCTAGCAATATTGGCTGCGATAGGGGCTCTTCATTTTGTAGGTTCACAGCCCAGAACGCACAGTACCCACCGCCTAACTGTACTCACACCCACTAATTGTTCTCCATAAATTTTCATCAGGCGTCGCTGAATGTCAAAGGGCGCAATTTTTCCGCATGGAGGAATTTAGTGGCGCAACTCATTTTCGTACGAATTTCACGTCTAAAACCATCTATAACAAGTCAGAAAGAATTATAGGTTATTGTCTAGTATGTCTAGCCTCTACTTCCATACCCGGAATTTCTGACGTTGTAGACAAACATAATAAAATAGGAGATATTAATTTTTGAGCGACCTCATTATTCATTTTATAGGGATACCAGTTGTTTTTTGGCATTTTTTTTCGAACGGATGTCGGCAGATTATACCATCTCCAATTATAATATGAAAGATGTCAAAACATGTTGGCAGCATATCGATTCTTCTCATCATTCATAACTAGTGACACCCTGTACATACCTCAGTCTAAAATTACTTAGTCCAAATTTTATATCCATATTCACATTTGTGAATTCATTGAGAAACCAGCCATCTGACTTCCGGCCGGAAATATTTTGACTTGTGCAAGTGTCAGTCGTTTTCTTATGCCCAACAAAGAAAAAGAGAGTTTTGATTGTATAATGGTGAAATTGCTAGTAACGTCATGAGAGAAATCAATACTGTCTTTGCCCGCCTATAAAATACAAGTTTTGTAAACATTACGAATTTTTCTATTTTTCTAGCTCAAGCGTACGTTGATTAGCTTCTCATCCATAATACCAGTAATATCTCAGATACCCATTTTTATTGGAAAATGGAGGCGGAACTGCATTGAATACGCTGTCAAATATCGGTACTAACACAGTAGACATTTCCTAGTAAGATTTCAATAAACTGGTGTAGCTTCACTTACAAAAAATATATTAAAAACATGTAATAAAAGTTTGAGCTAAAGTTTTGAAAATATCAAATGCTATAAAATGTCATTACTGAATAAGCGAATGGATAAAAACGAAAGATCATTATTTGTAATTAAGTTATTAAAATATTTCCAGCAAGAATCAATTTGAAAGTTTGTCTCTTCAGAATCTACATTTTTATTTACAATTGGAATTGCTTAATTTAACGGTCGTAGAGTGTAAAGGCCTGAATGTTACAATAAAAAGCAACGATATCAAAAGAAAAACGATTTTTTTAATGAAAATACTACAGATAAGAATTCTACTACTACTGTTCGATAGTAAACAAATAACATGGGTTGAATAATTAAATGGAAAAAGTAGTGATATGGCTGTATATTTGATTTAGCTGTTAAGCCTTAGTGACCAAATCAGCAAAGGCGACTTCTATATCGGATTCCTATTTCAAATCAGGTCGGAGATCGCTTCTTTATTTCCGATTCTGCTTAGCTTAACGGTTGTAGAGTAACGATCTGAGCGTTGTGATGAAAACAGTAAATATGAATGAAAACTAATGGAAATTATAATAGTTCTTCTTTTGTCTTATGTTTTTTGTTTTATTTAAGAAACTTATAACTTAAGATTATAGTTTCTAGTCAAAATTAATATTGCAAATATTAATAATGAAAACTATATAAATCCAGTGTATAGTTGACATTGAATTGCAAGATCAAATATTTTCTCCGACAACTTTAGACTCGGAGTGGGATAAGTAAACCTAGCTAACATTAGTGGTTTTAGTACAAATCCACCAACTCTCTTGCTGCGACATCTGTTATGGTTGTTTTCTCTTTCCCCTATATTCAAATACCCTTTTATCACATGGTTTTTTCTCATTCCAGCCAGGGAACGTCTACTCTAAGTTGGCGAAACGCATAGCTGAATAGCATTTCCACTAATGATGCGAATCTTGATGAATAGACCGCGAAGCAGAACAAATTTAGTGCGGCTCCGTCAAGGACACTGGAAAAAGGAATCGATATTAAAATGATGAGAGAGAGAGAGAGAGAGAGAGAGGGAGAGAGAGAGAGAGCAATACATATGCAGAAGGATGTGTATTTATGTTTTATAGATTACGCAAAAGCATATGACAAGGTACGACACAACGATCCATTGAACTGCTCGGGAAACTAGATCTATTTAATTATACAGGGACCAAACTGAATGTACACGGATAGAAAATTAATTGAGAAGCTATACAAAAATAGGAAGAGGCGTAAGACAAGGATGTTTCTTCCCTCAGATTTATTCAACCTCTAAGACGAAGCTATCCTAAGGGAGCTGGTCACAGTACCAGGACCTATTATCGGCGGGCGTAATCTTAACAATATACGCATATGATACTGTGTTGACAGCGAACACGAAAAGAAAACTCCATGACTTTCTAGACAGCGTAGTAAAAGAAAGTGAAAAAAGGACTCACCATAAACTGCAAGAAGTCAAAGTAGAGTCACCGGGAAGAGGAAAAGCCTAAGATGCGAGTTACAAATTGGAAATGTTAACTTCAAACAAGTACAGATGATTAAATACCTGAAAAATGTTTTAACGAAGGATGGACATGTGACACCGAAATTCGAACACGCATTGAGCTAGCAATACAGAGATATCCCAGAAACTAAGAAAGAGAAATGGAAAAAAATTGTTAGAAACAAAGAAAAGAATGTTGGATTACTATGTAATATCAATCCTCTCATATGGCAGTGAATCTTAAAAATATCCCCATAGACGAGAAAAACTAGAAGCAGAAGAAATGTAGTTGTACAGAAGGATACTGAAAATTCCATGGACGGAGCGAGTAAGTTAACAAGGAAGGCTTAGAGAAAATGGCAATAGAAAGAGTGCTGGTTTGCTATGTGTTATCCATCCTTTTATATGGCAGTAAATGCTGAAACAATCGCCCAACAGATAAAGAGAAAACTGGAGGCAACAGAAATGTAGTTTTACAGAAGGATAATGATAATTCTCTGTACGGAACGAGTAAGCAACGAGGAAAATAATGGCAACAAAAAGGAACATTTATGCTCAGAATCAGGAAGAGACAGTTGAAATTCCTTGAACAGATAATGAGGAAAATGGGCTTGGAAACTTAGCCCTCACAGGGCATATTGAGGTCAAGACAGTAGAGAAGCTACCTGACGTGTTTGTGTGAATGAATGGCGGAACATGAGGGAGCCTTAGCAAAAGGAGAAAACGGCTAAGGGCAACAAGGGCTAGAGAGTTTTAAAGAGCTATGATTGCCCATAACCTAAAGGGACGCGGCACACAGAAGAATCATATTACTTTTAGAGAACAAGCACAATCAAGTAGTTCGCATTGTCTTACGAAATAGCAAAGAGAATCCAAAGCTATTTGCCGAGATAAATTATGTGATTTAGTAATCATAATAAATAATAGGATTTCTCATTATGTAATAAAATGTTAACCTAAAACAGTGTAAAGTTTGATTATTATTTTTTTTTAGATTTTAATTGCGATCTGAATTGTTGACGGATTCCAATCAGAGATATCAGTTTATGATTACAAGGTTGAATAATTGCCTGAGAATTTTTCTGAAATTCTCAGACAAACAAAATTCTCTTTCGTCATATACAGGCATTTTTTTCAAATAATGACAACCAGGCTCTAAAATTGAGTTTTATTCTTTGTGACACTTGATTAAATAATATTCGAAAGCAATCGTCTCTATGGAAATAACTTTTTCTCTCTATTGTATGTATGTATGTATATATATATATATATATATATATATATATATATATATATATATATATATATATATATATATATATATATATACATTTTACACATTAATGCGTGTCAACTCATAAATAACTACGTCAAGTTAAGAATAAAAGCCAAGGCCGAATATGCGATTCATAACAAAAAATATCCATATTAAAACCAAATGATGTTTTGAGGCTTTCCAATGTAATCATTTCTAAGAAGCATTGGACGGGGTTACATTTCTTCCCACAGATATATTTATTCACGTCATTCGTCATTATGGCGACAGGGTTAGACGAAGTAGCATAGCAATACAAATGACAATCAATTATGTTCAAAATCTTTCAGCCCACGCAGTCATTTGATATACATAGTATATGATGGAACCATTTGATTCGGAAATTTATCTATCTCGCCTTGGTTATCGCAGTATTTTTATCACTGCAAGAATAATTGCTTAATGATTGAAAGTAAGTACCCCAATAATCTTAACGATATTCACCGCAGTATTTATTTTCGTCATCTAAAATGAATTATATGGGAACTATAACATTAAGTTGCGGCAAAAGTTTCCAGCGTTTTGAAAAAAATATTTTCTCATAAATTTGTAGTATTATTATTCAGTTTTCAAAGTATTTTCTTAGTTTCTTACGGTTTCCGCTACATTTCTGCTAAACTGTGTGTTTTATTCTAAAAAGAACAATTTCGAATTTGCTTATAGAAATACTTGCAAAATTTTATTTCATATCTTGAACTTGTCTAACCACGGATTAATCAAGTGGTGTTGTTTTAAGCAAAACAAATGATAGTCTGAAGGTGGCATGTTTGGAGATTACACAGCATAATGAAGTAGTTCCGATCGACTTTTGAGTCGGTATATTTGCAATGCGCAGACAGAAGTTGACATGCATCAAAATGACAAATCGATTTCCTTGCCCAGAAAAAAAGATTTTTTCTGTTCCAGTACATCATTCAAACAAATCACTTCAACGTAACAGTTTATCCAGGTGCATTATTTACATTCGGTCTAATGTCTTCATCTTTGTTGTTATCACAACATTTCGGTCGTTTGCAATAACAACGGCCTACGGTTAAATCACATTGAAAACATCGGTTCTCGTTCGATCACCGAAGTTATGCAGCATCGAGTCCGGTTAGTACTTAGATGAGGGACTGCTTGGGAACACCGAATACTGTAAGCAACATTCTACTATCATAAATATCTTTCGGCTTTAAATAATACACAAATGGTTGATAAACCGTAAAAACAAATCGAGCAAGCATGCAATAACAACAAAGATAAGAACATTAGTCCGAATGTAAATAATGTAAATAATGACTCTTCATCCTAGAAATTCAGACAGAAATTATCCAAGTTCATGTAATTCATCATCGAGAATTTATTTTGAATCCGACTAAATACAGAAGACCTTCCCTTGCCTTCTGAAAATTCCATTAAGTTTGAGATGGTTCAATCTCTCCTTGGATCAAGCAACACTTTATTTCGTTTGCGATTATCAAAATAAATCTATTTGTCATCCCCAGTGAATATAGTGTACGAAGATTACTTTGCCTGCGTCGAGACAGAAAGAAAAGTATTTAAATGCTGACTGATGTCGGCTTCTCTAAGATCATTTAGAATTCATTCTTATAGCTTCAGTAAGGCTTGTAAACAATGTGCTAAATATTGCTCAATGAAGAACAGTAAACTTGAAAGTCGTTTCTATGAATGAGTTCCTCAAATTGCGCAAACAATGACCTGGAGACCTTTGTATCAAACTAATATTTGAATAGCTTCAGTTACTACCGATAATTTTACTGAAACTGCTAACATTTACATTACTTTGTTTACAATTGATGTAAGAATTATCATTACTATTACTACGGAAAATATTGCGCCGGCAATAGTGATCGGAAGAAAAGTGAAACAGAATAAAAATAAAAGCAACAATAGTAATATTGATAGTTCTCCGGCAAGTAAACTAGTAATGAATTGGAAGACCATTGCCGTCCTTGCAGGAGTCAGAGTAAATATCCCAGAAATTGGAAAAGTAATAAAAACCAGCACATCACCCATGTAATATAAAGCATAAGGATGATAATCATGTCAATATTAATTAGTACATTGGAAACAGTCGCAGAGACACATGTGGTAAAACTAAAGAAAACGAAAATTCAAAGAAAATTTCAGGCAATTCCAATGATTCACAGTAATAACTGGTGTAAATAAGTAACAATAAAAGGATTAATAGTAGAAATACTAACAATTAAATATTGAACCCATAAAAATTTCCCAATTAAGAAGAAAAAGATAATCCATTATCTTATTACTTTGCTCTTCTTTCTTCCTTTGCTTGTATGTTTTTATTCTCTCCTTTATAACTTCAAATCTTCGTTTCCCATCTATGTCTTTATTTAATTGTTGTATAAACATGAATTAGTTTCAAAGGAATAAGGAATGTTCAAGTATTTACTACTGTATCCTCTTTTTTACTCCATCTTTAAAGAATTTTAATGCAACAAAGTTCTTGCGACTTTCCATCTTTCATATATTTTCTCTTGATATTCAGTCAGCAAGTCTTTCTAGGTCCTTCAGTTTCATGCCTTTATCGTTCCTCTCCCCGCCTAGCTTCCCCCATGATTCTTTTCACTTGGGTTTCTTTTCAGTTTTCTCTATCGTTACGCTATATTCTATTTTCCTCTCCCTAGCTTTCCCAAATCTTTCCCTTTTAGTAGTATTATGCAGGTTTTCCGGTCAGAAAATGTAACCATTTTATGTCAGAATAGGCGGGGTTAAAAACAAGCATGATAATAGTATAGATAATCTAAAATACTACTAAAAATAATCACGATAAAAAGAACAGGAGTTCTAATAAATATAACCTATACAAAAACGAAAATTAATGAATTTAGCAACATCGTGCGAGAAAAGATGTGCGATTGATACCTGAATAAACCTTGAAAATATCGCTATCACAATTTCTAATTTTTAATCAAAGTATAAATAAAACTTTTTAGTGATTATATATTTTGTTAAATTCTTCCATTTTCCTATGTCAAGACTGTTGAAATAGCAAAGTAAGCTGCATAGGATATGAATTTAATAATATCAAACGATAAAATATCGTAATTTATTTTCATTCAGACATTGCCACAAGTTCGTTGCGTATTAATTTGTCCTTTAATAGCATTTACAATCTCTGATGATTATCTGCCCGTCTTTAAATGTAGAATAAGCTTCTCTGGCAAAGAAAGCATTGTGAAAACATCCTGTTTATATGGAAAAGGAATAAAAAAAAAACAGAAGAAAGTAAAGGCTGACAAAAATGGAGTGTTCTTGTATTGACAAGGAATTTATTGACAAAATTATTCCTGTAATTCTAATCAAAGAAACAAAGGAGGTCCGTCTGCTCCCTTTCAATCGATCTGTCCCGTTGCCATAGAATAGTAGTTTGAACGTTGATCCAGTCAGAAAAAGCTTTTGTGTTATCTTTATTAGGAGCTTAGAAAATATTGGCTTTTTGTCAGAATAAGATAACCATTAAAATATTCGTGGTCTGTATGTCCAAAGTACACGATCAGTCTAGTCATTTTAATTATAAATATCATAATTCCAGTTCTATCTATCATAAAATCGGTCCGTCGCAAGCCCTGAGAAGTGAGATTAATACATCATAATTGACCAATAAATTGATTATCATTTTGCATTATTTTAAAGATTATTTTTTGAAGAATTTAGACTGAGTAATAGTTTCAGTAAAAGAGAAAGAAAACGGTGTCATTCTGCAAAATTATTTTATTTCTTATTAGGAGTAATAAAAAAATCAGTGTTTTGGTGTACTTTGTCACTTAAGTTGACTGATATCTCCGTCACCGAAATCATCATTGTATTTATTTCTATGGGGATCTGTAAGTACCACAAATTATTTAACCAAATCTTGCTTATTAGGTAACCTGTGGATCATGATACCTAATATAATAAAATGTTTTAATGAAAATCAACACGGTTTGTGGATCAAGATTATTTATGGAACGTCCGAATTGTATCATGATTTGGCTATGTAATGATTGCGGACATGAAGATTAGCAATTTCAAGAATAAATCTATTTAAAAATTTTTATCTTGCTCTTTTTACAAATTAGTTTTATCAGAAGAAAATCATCGTTATAAAAACTGAAACAACACAAGAGATTTATATATAATAACATTTTATATTTTTCAACAAACAGAAATAAACTGACATAAATAGAAAGACAAAGAATTTATAGAATTGAATATTAACAACTTATCATGCGTATATATGAAAAAGTATACTAGAGGAATCAAACAAATATATACATCTCAGTGTATGAAGAAAATGAAGATTTTTTTAATATAAACTATAAATGAAAAAAGTAGTAACATAAAATATTTACATAACATTCGAAAAATAGTTCACTTGAAATTCTCTTTCACTAAGTCAGTGGTAGAATCTGCTAGCGATTGTTATACGAGCGACCACAAATTTACGCAATATCTTGTCGGGAAGTACAATATCATTTTAGTGTAGAAAGAGATACAGTAAATTTTATTTTTGTAGAAAAATATAGATTTTTAAAAGGAGAGTGGTTAAATGTTTCATGTATTAATTTGAGTAGATATAAATTTATCGAATCTCACCAAAGTTGTGTAGGATACAATTTAATAAATAATACATTAAACTTAATAAAGATATTTTTTATTTTGTATGGTATAACTTTTTACAGATTAAGCAATGCGTATCTTCCTTTTTAGGAATACACACCACTTATATATATACACACACATGCACACACGCGCGAGCTCGCGCGCACACACACACACACACACACACACATATATATATATATATATATATATAATCAGTTTCAACAATATATGTATTTTAAATTTTATCAGACACAAAACGAAATATTTAAACATAAATTATGCTTTAAAATATAGATTGAAAATGGGGAAGGAAAAAAAGAAAGAGAAAGGGGAGAAAAAGAGAGATATGTCTGTCTAGAGAGATATATAGATAAGGAAACTGTACTGGATGAGAGTAGACAGGTTGACCTATTTCCACCGGATGTGAGAAATGAAGTAGAGATGGTATTTTCAAAGGGGAACAGAGGAAAGGGACAAAGGAAAGAGAGCAAAGGAAAAAGAAAGGAAAGGGGAAGAAAACAAAAGAAAGAAAAGGAAACTTGAGAGACGATTCCGAACTGGTAATCGTCGTGTTTAAAATTGAATATATTCGAAAATTTTCTGTTCAATGTATGTAGTTATTTGCGACATCAATACCCATGTAATTTTAAAAAAATAAAATAGTAAAATAACGAATAATTTTCCAAACATTAAATAATAATTTTTAAAAAAAATGTATATATGTAAAAAGATTTAAAAAAAATAGTAATACATTAATAAGAAAAAGATAATTTTAAGTGAATAACAATAAAATTAAAAATAAAAATAAAGTTACAAAGATAAATATAATTATTCCCACATAAACATAGATACATTCATACACCTATATACGTATAAACATACAAATACAGTATATACATGAATCCACTTTCTGAAAAATCATATACACTTTCATCTCTATACATATAGAGACCCATATCTACCAACGCACCAAAAATGTACAAATAATATATACATTTATATTTTTATGATTAAATATTTCGTTTTGTGCCTGATAAAATGTAAAATCCATTTATTGTTGAAACTGACTTTGGTCTGATGAGACGAAACTGGTAAAGTAAATTTTACGAAATAAAATATTACCATGGATTTCTGAAGTCTCCCCTTTCAAAATTATCTTTTGCTTTGTTCTTACATTGATTTTTCGCTGGATCCTTTTCAGAATTATCCATAAGGATTACCAAATAATATTATCATATATATATGTATTTATATGCCCTTTGTCAATCTCTATTTGTGTATGTATGTTGCGAAAAAGAACAGGCACTAAAAGAACGAGAGATAATGTAGCTAAATCCATGTATAGATGAATAACTATTTATGAGCGGAGTAAAGAGATGTAGAAATCGAAAGAACAAAAATTATATCACAAGATATGAAGATTAGTGTATTTAGTTTCTAGAAATGACCATTTTAAGCCTATCTTTTAGTCGATGCTTTCAGCATTTAAGTCCGAATTTAGTCCTTTCGCTTCCTATCGTACAGAACTAG